ATTTCTTTTATTGTATAAAAACTGATAATTAACAGTAACAGTGAAAGAAAATAAATTATGATATATGTTAACTTTACCTGTTACTTGTATGCATTGCCAAATGGCAATTGTCATTAGGAACAAAAACCACTTCATGATTTCTTGAATGCACTAAGCGTTTGAATGACGGACAAATCTTCAACTCTGCAAACAAGTAAATCTTTCGGTACCATAATTCTAATTTAAAATTGTAAGACAGTTCTCTGTTTGCAATTTAATTAAAACGGCTTAACAGAATAAAATTTTATTTAAAAAAACAAACGGTTGACTACTTTTTGAAAGAGGACGTTACGTCCTCGGCTCGACTTTCTGTACCAGCGATAGAATAAACGATAATTACTCGCGACTCGAGATGATCGATCAGAAATGACAAGTTAAGAGCAATAAATACTAATGCTATTTAAAAAAAAATAATTGGGTATAATTACGTTTCAGGTTTATACTTACAATTAATACAGAATTTGCTTAAAATATACCCTCGGCGACCGCCCCACGATTCGATACTGACTATCTTTTTGGACCCGTCTACTCGGCTCTACTGCTCGTTAGACAGTGTCTATTCGGCTTGTTCATTTGAGAAACGAACTTTTGGCGAACGTTCTCGCATGTTCGAGAGACGTCTAAATATCCGGGTTGATTGCGCGGGATCGCGCTCGCGCAGAATCGATCTTAATCGAATCTATCATATTTTCAGGCAGCCAGTAACTGGCGCCGTCTGTTGGTCAAAATCGGTAATATCTTACAAAATAAACTTCTTTACGGGATGTTCGACCTATATACGATTTTAAACAAAGAAATCGTTAAACTGATAGTTTTATCTTTTTATTTGTACTCTACCTGCATCAGTTTGTATTCCAGCGTTATCAATTCTTTTTCTGGGTTTCTACGCAGCAATCAAAGGAGCATGTTCATGTGCTGCGTAAAGCGTTCTACGGAGCACATGCACATGGCCTTTCGATTGTGTGCGTGAAAATCTAGGCCAATAATTTGTAACGTTGCTGTACTTGTTATTATAATCACCAATTCCAACCATATGGCAAACTTGTTAAAACAACTTCAATATTTTTATCACTTAAATAGAAAACTAGAATAATATTTTACGACTATAAAATTTTTGAAACGTTTAAAAGATTTTTGTAAGGATTGGCAAGATAAATGTACGATAATGTTCTATTTGCTGTGCCCTGAGAAAGCGTGTACTTATGAATTATATGTTGAAATGAATTATATGAGAAACCTACAATAAATTAATTACGAAACGTTTGACGTAAGGAAACTCGTGTTTTTATTGTGAACTGCAAAACCTCGGTAAAACCTCGTTGCTGCGGTTATCGGCGACAAAGAATCGCCAAGCAGAAGGTCTAAAATTCCGCAAATGTTTAGGTATGGCTGTGAGGACAACTCTGCGTAGTAATTATTTGAAATTACTAATATGCAATCGCGAGCTATGTATTGTATTATACACACATACGCAGGCACAGTAAAAATCAAAAATTGTTTATGATAGTTGTCTCATAAAATGAGTTTCTTAAAAATTGATCCAAGTTTTCATTATGTTTATTGAAGTAATATTTACGTAATCCTGCGACAAAACAATTTACCGTTTCGAAACGGAGATAATTACAGTCGTAATTAGTACTTTTAGCACGTGTTGCATATATCATACTATGGTTGACATATTTTTAATTTTGAAAACTACATTTATTACTTTAATAAAAAATAATGAGCATGCAGAAAACAAACATATAAACATTACAAGAAAACAGCATTGTTCACCGTTTTATTTCAATATTATAATCGTAAGAGGTATATGATTTTTGATATTTTTCGAGGTATAAGAAATTCGAAGATGTAAATCACAATATTCAAGTCTTACATGTGTAGTTACATAGTGTGAACAAACCCAACCAAAAGTTTACTTTAGCAAGTGTAAGAAATTTATTTATTAACTATTTTTAAATTATTATTATACTTTTGATTGATCCTTTTAATAAATTGTTCGTATAAATTAAATAATACGTAATAATATATCTAAACTTTATTATTTGAGTTTTTTTTATGAAAGATTAACTTTAGATTGAATTGTCACGAGTCAACTACCTTAAATAATAGCTGAACAATTCGCAAATTTTGTCAAAGGAATAATTTAATAAAGTGTTTTTGACTATAAGTTTTTTTCATTAATAATTACATATAAAACGAGCATTTTAATAATTATTTTCGAAACAATTATTTAGAGTTAACTGTCTAAAATGTAGATTTATATTTGAAGTAAGCTGTAGCTCAAATTTTCAATATGTTTAGTAGCCAAATAGGCGGTAAAAAACGTATATTTTTTTTAACGTATTTGACGAGATCCTGTATCTTTTTATTATATGCTTTATTATATTCTTTATTATATTCAATATTGTTTTTTTCATTATTAATCGACTTTTTCACTTTGTTTTTTGGATTATTGAAGATTGTTTCTTTATTGTTAGTAGACGTTGGCAAAATGGCATCCGCATTTTTATTATTTTATTAATGCAATTATATATATGCTATTACAGATGTAGGGTAAAAAAATTAGTTCTGATTTACTGTTAAAATAAAAATTTATTTCTTTCTCCAAAAATACATCGAATGTAAGATACAATTTCTAAGATGTATGAACATTCTTAAGATTCATGTCGTGAAGATAATTAATTGCTGTTAGAGATTAAAAAACTGGTAAAAAATTTTATCTTCTACCTATATAATTTATCATAGACCATACGGGACTCATTATTAATTTTATATAGTTTTCTTTAAACCGATCTCTTACGCTGTCTTCTTTTATATGTTTAGTTTTATTTTTTTGAATATTCTCATATAATGTTGTATCATCTTCAATAATGTCTTCAAATTTGTCTTTTGCTAATTTTGTTAATGCAGGATCGATTTCCCTTTTTTGTATGTGGCTTGTAAGTTTCCTTCCTTCCTCGTTACTTTCACCTTTAGTTGCATGTTCTGGTTTCTTTGTTGTTGTTCTCAAGAAGACTATAGTAAAACAAGTGCAGAATTATGTATTTATTACTTATATAAATATGTAGATACTTTATTGGCAATGTTTATGCACTTTAAGAACCTACCTTTATAAAACGGTAAAAATGGGTGTACTTCTTCTGGTATTTCATCACGGTACCGCAAGAACGGATATTCAATTGAAAATATAATGGATTTATCGGTGACCGAGGTTTCCGTTGACTCACAGAATTGCCTGCGTTAATATATTTAAATTAAGTTAAATTTTTTTTTAAATAAATAACATATAAAATATTTTTATTTTATTTATATTTAAAAACATAATGTGAAGTTAATGAAATGTAGTGTGACCTCTGAAATATTATACAGAGGTTACTCCTCAGGTACTCCCTTTGCAAGAAAAATATTACACAGTTGATACTATTACGTTTTGTAAGGATGCGTTATAGTAACACTAAATTTTTTTTTAAATTAACGATTTAGTTTGTACAATATAAGAGCTCATAGTTATTTAAAAAAGAACTCATAGTTAATTTAAAAAATAAAAAGATGCCCATAGTAAATGTGATAGTTTAATTTAATAGCTTAATATAAACGAGATATTAAAATAAGAAAGCCGTCATTTGAAGAAAGAGCTCATCGAGAAGAACTCAACTAATTATTCGTATTAATTTTTTAAATTTACTCCGTACTAATTAATAAAGTTATAAGTGATAACATATAAATATTATTTGTCAATTGTAACTATATTAAAATTTTGCCTTTTTTTTTTAAGATATTCGGTATTTTGACTTAAAGATTAGATGAATATCTGCGTGTTTTTCATGCATATTTTATGTAGTAGAAATATTAATCACATTTTTAATACAAGAAAGGCACATCGGACTGACACACACAAATAATTAAAGTATAATTAAAAATATTTTTCCTTATATCTCTTGAGAAACATTAGTCGTAAAGATATTACTATTTTAATTAATGAACATGGTTACATAAATCAAGGAAACAAATAAAATTCTTATGCGCAATTGATCATTCATCTATTTATCACAATCTGTTCATCTGTGGTTTATCAAAACTGCATAGCGTTCTACGCAGTTGTACTGTTATCGGTATGATTCACAATATTTATTCATTAAACAAACACGTTATTTGGCATAATATTTTTTCTGTTCTTCCGTTCAAAGTCTCTTTGGATATATTTTTTGCACTAATTAAAAACTAAGTAAATTTTTATTTTTTTAAATAATGTATAAATAATAATACAAACTATAAATTGCTTTAGTATATCGACGCGACAAGTGATTTAATTTATATTGATACAGAGAATTCGTTTTATTATTATTATTATTTAAAAAACTGACAAGTAATAAGAACAATAAAAGAAAAATAATTTATAATATATGTTAACTTTACCTGTTACTTGTTCGCAATGCCAAATGGCAATTGTTATCAGCAATACAAAACACTTCATGATTTCTTGAATACATTGAACACTTTGGATGACGATTCTTTAATTTTGCAAGCAAGATCCTTCGGCATCAAAATCCTGACTTAAATTGAACTTCTTTAAGAAATGTTCGACTTATATAAGTTTCTAAACAATAAAACCGTTAGACTGATAGTTTTATTTATCTTTTTATTTGTGCTCTACCTGTATCGATCTTTATTTCAGCGTTTCCAATTCTTGCCTGGGTTTTCACGAAATATTCAAAGGACCATTTTCATGTGCTGCATAAAGCGTTTTGCCCTGCACATGAACATGGCCCCTCGATTGAGTGCGTGAAAACTTAGGACAAATACTTGTCACGCTGCTGGACTTCTGATTGTATGTATTCAAACATTAAAAAGACTTAGATATTTTCATCGCTTTTAGAGAGAAAAACTAAAATGTGATTTTAGGACTTTGGAATATTTAAAATGCTTGAAAGATTTTTTAAAGTTTTGCAAGATAAATGTACCAGAATGTTCTATTTGCTGAACTCTGAGAAAGTGTGTATTCATAAATTATATTTATGTGATGCCCACAAAAAATTAGTTACGAAACGTTTCACGTAAAAAAACTCGCATTTTTTGGGAACTCTCGTTGCTGAGGATATCGGCGAAAAAAAATCGCCAAGCAAAGGGTTTAAAATTCCGAAAGTGTGTAAGTAAGGCTGTGGAAACAACACTGTGTAATAATTATTTAGAATTACCAATATACACTCGCGAGCTATGTATTATACATATTTACGCAGGCAAAACAAAAAATAAAAATTGTTTAAGGTAGTTATCTAAAATAATTTTCTTAGAAATTGATCCAAATTTTCTTTATATCTATTGAAGTAATATCTAAATAATCCTATAAGAAAAAAATTTACCGTTTAGAAGCGGGAATAATTATAGTCGTAATTAGTACTTTTAACACGTGTTGCATACACCGTACTAAGGTTGACATCATATTTTTAATTATATCTGCAAAGTTACATTGAAGACTTTAATAAAAAGTAATGAGCATGCAAAAAACAGATGTATGAACATTAAAAAGTGCAGCATTATTCACCGTTTAGTTTCAATAATATAATCGTAAAAAGTATATAATTTTTGATATTTTTTGATTATAAAAAGGTCAAAGATGTAAATCAAAATATTCAAGTTTTACATGTGTAGGTGCGTAGTATTGACAAACCTAATCAAAAGTCTACTCTAGCAAGCGTAAAAAATTAATTTATTAACTATTTTTAATGTATTATTAAATTTTCGATTGATCCTTTTAATAAATTGTTCTTATAATTAAATAATACGTAATGATACATCTAAACTTTATTATTTGAGTTTTTTTTAATGAAAGACTTAACTTTTATATCGTATTGTCGCGAGGCAACTACCGTAAATAATAGTTAATATTTCGCAAATTTAATTCAAAGTAATAATTTAATAACGTATTTCTAACTATAAGTTTTATTCATTAATAATAACATATCAAACAATCTTTTTAATTGTTATTTTTGAAACAATTATTTAGAATTAATTGTCTAAAATATAGATTCTGTTTGGAATGAGTTTCAGCTCAAATTTGCAAAATGTTTTGTATCATATTGGACGGTAGGTACGGACATTCCTTATAACGTATTCGTCGAGATTCTTTATCTTTCTATCATGTGTTTTATTATATCCTAATTATATTTAATATTGTTTTTTTTAATTATTAATCGACTTTTCCACGTTGTTCTTCGGATTATTGGACATTGTTTCCTTATTGTTAGTAGGCGTTGCACGATACTATCCGCATTTTCATTATTTTATTAATTTATTTATGTATATGCTATTACAGATGTAAAATAAGAAGATTAATTAGTTCTTATTATCAGAATAAAAATTTATATCATGCTTTAAAAACACATCGAATATACAATACTACCTTTAAGATGTATATACAATCGTAAAGATAATTAATTACTGTTACAGATTAAAGAACAGATAAAGGATCTTATCCTCTACGCCAGCGCTCGGAATTAGTTGCACATTTCGGGCCGATTCCCGAGAGGACGCCTTTTGTTCCCCCACTGCCGCCCGGCCGCTGGCGGCCGAAACGCCGATAGCTCTGGCGCAGGAGCGTTTTATACAGGGTGTCCGATAATTGCTGAATTACCTCTTGGGTGTAGGTAGAGCGGGTTAAACCGAGTAGAAAAGTCCTCTATCGTTTTGCGATTTTCGCAATAATTAATGAGGAATTAGTTTAAAAATATCGGCCAATTTGCGCGAGTTTAAGAGCGCGGCGAGAAGAGACAGCCCGTTGTTACGTGGTCGCTAGGACGCAAGGATCTAGCGTTACACATCGCTCGTATGTGCCGTTGTCATTTATAGAGCGCTCCTCCCAACGATATATCGTGCGCCTAGTAACCAAATAACAGTGGGCTGTATCACCACGGGTCTCTTCTCGCCGCGCTCTTAAACTCGCGCGATTTGGCCGATATTTTTTAATTAATTCCTCATTAATTATTGCGAAAATCGCAAAATAATAAAGGACTTTTCTATTCGGTTTAAACCGCTCTACCTATACCCGAGAGGTGATTCAGCAATTATCGGACACCCTGTATAAGAAATAGGCTGGGTTGTTGAGGCACCTCTCAGAAAATAGTAATATTTTCTTTGCTACATAAATAATGTTTATTTTTATTAATAATTAAATATATATATATATATTATGTATTAATAAAAAGAAACATTATTTATGTAGTGAAGAAAATATTACGATTTCCTGAAAGATGCCTAAACAAAATCCCAAGATCTATAGAGAGAAGGTTACCTCATGCGCAAAGAGGGACGAGCGGCAAGAGGGGAAAATGCAGAGAGGGACGAGCGGCAAGAGAGGCAATGATGATCTCATCGGCAAACAGAAGCTATCTCAGACACCTCTATAGCTCTATAAATCTTGAAACAATCCAGCCTCCATTATAGTCTCTATCATAGTCTTCATCATCGTTTTCATCACCTGACATTTCCCATTTACGTATTCTAGAATCATTGTCTTCATCATCTGACATTCCTGATCCATATTTTTCAAAATCATCGATTTCTCTCTTTTGTACGTGGCTCGTAGGTTTCCCTTCTACATCGCTACTTTTTCCTTTAGTTGCATCTTCTAGTGCTTCTATTATTTTCCAGGAACCTATAGTAAAACAAGTGCTAAATTATATATTTATTATTTATATAAATATGTAGATACTTTATTGGCAATGCTTATGCACTTCAACAACTTACCTGGATAAGACGCTGAGAACTGATATTCAACCGGAAACATTGGATTTAGCAGTGTCCGAGGTATCCGTTGATTCACAAGATTGCCTGCGTTAATATATTTAAATTAAGTTAAATTTATTTTTAAATGAATATCATATAGAAATTATTTATTGTATTTATATTTAAAAAATAATGTGAAAATGATGAAATGAAATGTGTTCTTTAAAATATTATACAGAGGTTACTCCTCAGGTACTCCCTTTGCAAGAAAAATATTACACAGCTGTCACTATTACGTTTTGTAAGGATACGTTATAATAGCACTTAATGTTTATTAAATAAACGATTTAGTTTGTTCAAAATAAGAGCTTATAGTCATTTAAACAAAAACACATAGTTAATTAAAAAAATAAAAAGATGCTCATAGTTAATTAAATGTGATAGTTTAATTTAATAGTTTAATATAAACAAGACATTAAAATAAGAAAGCCGTCATTTGAAGAAAGAGCTCATCGAGAAGAGCTTAACTAATTATTTGTATTAATTTTATTAATTTACTCAGTACTAATTAATAAAGTTAAAATAAAGTTGAAACACATAAATATTATTTGTCAATTCTAGATATATTGAAATTTTACATTTTCTCTTTTTGAAGATCTTTGGAATTTCAATTTGGAGATTTCATGTATGCATATTTGATGAAGTAAAAATATTATTCACATTTTTAATACAAGAAAGACACATCGGATTGACACACGCAAATAATTAAAAATATTTTCTTATATCTCTCGAAACACTAGTCGTGATAACATTACTATTTTAATTTATCAACGCAGTCATATAAATCAAGGTAACAAATTAAATTCTTCTGCGCAATTGATCATTAATCTATTGATCGCAATCTGTTCATTTAAGGTATATCAAAATTGCATAGCGTTCTATGCAGTTATCAGTATGATTCACAATATTCATTCATTTAAATGAATACCTTATATGACATAATAGTATTTCTGCTTTGCCGTAAGATCGCTCGAAGTCTCCTTTCATGTAATTTTTTTTGCATTAATTAATAACTATGTAAATTTTTTATTTTGCCGATAATGTATAAATACTAATGCAAACTATAAATAGCTTTAGTATATCGATACGACAAGTAATATAAGTATTATTGATTCAACGCATTCGTTTTATTTTTATTATTGTATAAAAAACTGATCATTAACAATAACAGTAAAAGGAAAATAAATTATGATTTATGTTAACTTTACCTGTTACTTGTATGCATTGCCAAATGGCAATTGTCATCAGAAACAAAAACCACTTCATGGTTTCTTGAATGCACTGGGCGTTTTGGATGACGGTTCTACAACTCTGTAAGCAAGTAGACCTTTCGGTACCACAATTTAGACTTAAAATGAACTTCTTTACGGAATGTTCGACCTGTATACGATTCTAAACAAAGATATCGTTGAACTGATAGCTTTATCTTTTTATTTGTGCTCTACCTGCATTAATGCATTCCAGCGTTACCAATTCTTGACCTGGGTTACCACGCACACATTCAAAGGACCAAATTCATGTGCTACATAAAGCGCTCTGCGCTACACATGAACATGGCCCCTCGATTGTGTGCGTGAAAACCTAAGACAAAAATTTGTAATGCTGCTGTACTCCTGATTATAAACATTCCAACTATATGACAAACCTATTAAAAAAACTTTGATATTTTTATCACTTAGAGAGAAAACTAAAATGATATTTTACAACTATGGACTTTTTGAAACACTTGAAAGGTTTTTGTATAGATTGGCAAAATAAATGTACGATAATGTTCTATCTGCTGAGCCCTGAAAAAGCATATATTATATGTAGAAATTAATTATATGAGAAACCTTCAATAAATTAGTTACGAAACGTTTCACGTAAGGAGACTCGTATTTTTTGTGAACCCTCGTTGCTGCGGTTATCGGCGACAAAGAATCGCCAAGCAGAAGGTCTGCAATTCCGCAAATGTTTAGGTATGTCTGTGAGGACAACTCTGTGTAATAATTATTTGGAATTACTAATATGCAATCGCGAGCTATGAATTATACATGCATACGCAGGCACAGCAAAAATTAAAAATTGTTTAAGGTAGTTGTCTCATAAAATAAATTTCTTAAAAATTGATCCAAATTTTCATTGTATCTATTGAAGTAATATGTAAGTAGTTTTGAAACAAAAAAAATTTGCCGTTTAGAAGTGGAGATAATTACAGTCTTAATTAGTACTTTTAACACGTGTTGCATAGACCATGCATAGACTATACTATGGTTGACATATTTTTAATTTCATCTTGGAAATTACATTTAAGACTTTAATAAAAAATAATAAGCATGCAGAAAACAAACATATAAACATTTAAAAAAACAGCATTTTTTGCTGTTTAAATTCAATAATATAATCGTAAGAGATATATGATTTTTAATATTTTATGAGGTATAAAAACTCGAAGATGTAAATCACGATATTCAAATCTTACATGTGTAGTTGCATAGTATGGACAAACCCAACCAAAAGTCTACTCTAGCAAGTGTAAGAAATTAATTTATTAACTATTTTTAAATTATTGTCAAACTTTTGATTGATCCTTTTAATAAATTGTTTGTATAATTAACTAATATGTAATGACATATCTAACCTTTATTATTTGAGTTTTTTTTAATGAAAGACTTAACTTTTAGATGGTTTTGTCGCGAGGCAACTACCTAAATAATAGTTAATAATTCGCAAATTTAGTTCAAAGCAATAATTTAATAACGTATTTCTAACTATAAGTTTTTTTATTTATAATAACATATAAAACGATCTTTTTAATTGTTATTTTTGAAACAATTATTTAGAATTAATTGTCCAAAATATAGATTCTGTTTGAAATGAGTTACAGCTCAAATTTGCAAAATGTTTTGTATCATATTGGACGGTAGGTACGGACATTCCTTATAACGTATCTGTCGAGATTCTTTATCTTTCTATCAAGTGTTTTATTATATTCTTATTATATTTAATATTGTTTTTTTTTATTATTAATTGATTTTTCCATGTTGTTTTTCGGATTATTGGACATTGTTTCCTTATTGTTAGCAGGCGTTGCACGAAACCATCCGCATTTTCATTATGTTATTAATTTATCTATATATATGCTATTATAGATGTAGGGTAAGAAGATTAGTTTGTTCTTATTATTAGAATAAAAATTTATATCATGCTTCAAAAACACATCCAATGTACGATACTATTTTTAAGATGTGTATACAATCGTGAAGATAATTAATTACTCTTACAGATTAAAGAACAGATAAAGGATCTTATCCTCTACCCCAATAAAACAGGAAAGGCAATATGCGTCTCGGTAATTCTTCTATATGTTCACTTGTATCTTCTTGAATATTCTCATGTGATATCTCATAATCTTCATCTATATGTTCACTTGTATCTTCTTGAATATTCTCATGTGATGTCTCATTATCTTCATCTATATGTTCACTTGTATCTTCTTGAATATTCTCATGTGATGTCTCATTATCTTTATTATCGTTTTTATTATTGTCTTTATTATCGTCTTTATTATCAACCTTAATATCACCTCTATTATCGATTTTATCATAGTCTTCACTTGTATCTTCTTGAATATTCTCATGTGATGTCTCATTATCTTCATCTATATGTTCACTTGTATCTTCTTGAATATTCTCATGTGATGTCTCATTATCTTCATTATTGTTTTTATTATTGTCTTTATTATCGTCTTTATTATCATCTTTATTATCGTCTCCAATATTGATTATATCATAGTCTTCATCAACGGAGTTAAAATTTTTATCAAATCGCATTAGATCTGTAAATTTTGCTAAATTGATTGCTCTTTTATGTACGTGGCTCGTAGGTTTTCCTTCTTCGTCGTTTCTTTTTCTTTTACTTGGAACTTCTGTTAATAATTCCCAGAAGCCTATAGTAAAACAAGTGCTGAATTATGTATTTATTGCTTAAATAAATATGTTGATACTTTATTCGCAATGTTTATGCACTTTAAGAACCTATTTGTAGAAAGCAGTAAAAATAGATTTATTTACCTTTTGCGTAATGTGTGACCGCCTTTGCGTAACTTGTGATCACATTTGCGTAACGTTTGATCGCATATGCAAGCGCATATGCATTCGTTGGATATGTTTGATGCACCGGAGAATTCGCAAAACTCGCAGGATTGCCTGCGTTAATATATTTGATTTAAGGTAAATTTATTTTTAAATGAATAACATATAGAAATTTGTATTTCTATTTATATTTAAAAAATAATGTAAAAGTGATGAAATGAAATGTGTCCTCTGAAATATTATACAGAATAGAAAAAAAAACAAGTGCTGAATAATGTATTTATTACTTATATAAATATATAGATACTTTATTGGCAATGTTTATGCACTTACCTGTATACAACGCTTCGAGCGGATAATCAACCGGAAACATTGGATTTAGCAGATCCCGAGGTTTCCGTTGACTCACAGGATTGCCTGCGTTAATATACAATACTTAAATTAAGTTAACTTTATTTTTAAATGAATAACATATAGAAATTATTTATTTTATTTATATTTAAAAAATAATGTGAAATTGATAAAATGAAATGTGTCCTTTGAAATATTATACACAGGTTACTCCTCAAATACTCCCTTTGCAAGAGAAATATTACACAGCTGTCACTATTACGTTTTGTAAGGGTACGTTATAATAGCACTTAATGTTTATTAAATAAACAATTTAGTTTGTTTAATATAAGAGCTCATAGTTTTTTAAACAAAAACACATAGTTAATTAAAAAATAAAAAGATAAAAAATAAAAAGATGCTCATAGTTAATTAAATGTGATAGTTTAATTTAATAGTTTAATATAAACGAGACATTAAAATAAGAAAGCCGTTTATTTGAAGAAAGACCTCATCGAGAAGAGCTCAACTAATTATTTGTATTGATTTTATTAATTTACTCAGTACCAATTGATAAAGTTATAATAAAGTTGAAAACAGATAAATATCATTTGTTAGTTCTAAATATATTGAAATTTTACCATTTTCTTTTTTTTAAAAATCTTCAGAATCTTAATTTGATGATTTCATGTATGCATATTTTATGTAGTAGATATATTATTCACATTTTTAATACAAGAAAAACACATCGGTTTGACACACGCAAATAATTAGAAGTATTTTCTGATAATGTCTCTCGAGAAACATTAGTCGTGAAATCATTACTATTTTATCAATGCGGTCATATAAATCAAGGAAACAAATTAAATCCTTCTGCGCAATTGATCATTTATCTGTTGTTCACAATCTGTTTATCTGAGGTTTATCAAAATTGCATAGCGTTCTACGCAGTTGTACTGTATCACAGTGTGATTTACAATATCCATTCATTAAACAAACAACGTTATTAGACATAATAATGTTTTTGATATACCGTAAGACCGCTCTAAATTTTCTTTGACGTAATTTCTTTTGCATTAATTAATAAATGTATAAATTTTTATTCTTGCAAATGATGTATAAATACTAATACTAACTATAAATTACTTTAGTATGTGTACATTGCAACAAGTAATATAATTATTATTGATTCAGTGATTCGTTTTATTACTATTATTGTATAAAAAATCAATAATTAGACCAGTAATAATAACACAAAAAAAAATAATTTATAATATATGTAAACTTTACCTGTTACTTGTACGAATTGCCAAATGGCAATTGTCATCAGGAACAAAAACCACTTCATTATTTCTTGAATGCACTGCGCGTTTTTAATGACGTTTCTTCAACTCTGCAAGTAAATAAATGCTTCGGTACCAAAATTCTTACGTAAAATGAACATTTTTATGGCGTGTCCGACTTTATATACGACTTTAAGCAAAGAAACCATTAGACTGATAATTTGTCTTCTTATATACTCTGATTGTGCTCCAAATGCATCGGTCTGTACTCCTGCTTACTGCATATGTAACATACCTTCCAATCATATGATAAACATATGATAAAAATGCTTCTACATTTTAATCACTTTTAAAAAAAAAACTAAAATGTCATTCTTAATCTTTGAATCTTTTGAAACGCTTAAATGTTTTAAACGAGCAAGATACATGTGCTGAGATCCAGGCGCCGCGGAAGTATTTTTTATCTGTGGGGGCAAAATTTATAAAGGGGATACATAATACATTCATAATATGTATATGTATATGTATGTAACTTCATTCAAACATTATGTAATAGGGTGGGTAGTATAAATGCTCAGTGGGTAGTATAAATGTGCGAGAAATATGCATAGATGTTTTGTTCTAATTAACTTAATGCGCTATATTTTCTTTATTATGTAGTGTACTTCAATTGAACGAGTAAATAATCAAAAAAAAAAAAGAAAAAAAAAGAAAAAAAAAGAAAAGTAACCTATTTTTCCACCTTTGATGTAAATATTTGATACTCAATATTTTCGGTCATAAAATACCTGAAGAAAACAGAAAAATTTCTGGGGGGAGGGCTACGCCCTCTGAATTATCTTTGAGCGAGCGGTCGTCCCCACTGCCGCCCCGGTTCCGCGGCGCCTGATGAGATCTAAATAAGCGTGTTACTCGTGAATTATATGTATAATACTGAGAAACATGCAATAAATTAATTACGAAACGTTTCACGTAAGGAGACTCGCATTTTTTGTAAACTGTTGTTGCTGCGGATATCGACGAGAAAGAATCGTCAAGCAGAGGATCCGAAGTTACGAAAATGTGTAGGTACACTCTAAAAAGTGAATTGGAGAAAATGTTTAGATTTAAAACGTTTTTCCCAAAACAAGCGTTCAATAATGAAAAATGTTTCAGATTTAATCATTTTAGTGTTTTAAATTTAAATACCCTGGTGTTTAAAATATTGAAAACGCTCAAAAGTGTTTACTGTTTTTCCTCAAACGGAAAAAAGTGTTTTACTATGATAGTTAAATGTTTACTTTCTCCACACGCCGAAAAACAAAACACCTTACTGAAATTAAACGTTTATTAAAGTAAAACGTTTTTTTTCAAGACGTTATATTCTGATGAATTGTGAAGTGCATTGAGAAACGTTGCTAAGGACGACCAGAATTAAAGTTTGAAGATTTTATCATTATGACATAATAGTAAAATTTTTTGATGAAGAGGGAAAAAGAGGGAAAATTAGCAGATTTTATTTGTACCGATAATATTATAAAAATGAAAGTTGAAAATCCAACTGCTGCCAAATCCATTCCTTGTTTGTTGAGATATTATTATGCGTGGGACTCCCATTATCCAACAAATTATAAGACGGTGCTGGATTTCTTTGATAAAGTATTGTTGAACAAAATCACACACAATAATTCAGCCTATAGGCTGAATCAAATTTGCCGCCACTTAATGACAGTGGAGCAAGAGGAAATTTTTTTATTAATTAAATAAGAAATAGATAATAAAATAGGAAACAGGTATCTTATATATAAGATTCTTTGAATAATAATAAATAACACATTCTCTCTCGCGCGCGCGCGCGTTTCCAGTTTTTTTTCTCCAATTCTCAACCGATTTTGTTGACATTTTTTCTATGATATTTAATGTTACCCCGAGCATATATAGCCAGAAATGTAAAAAACGTAAAAAAAATTTTTAATATTAAAAAGCTCAAAGAAAAAATTTCAGCAAAATCAGTTGAGAATTGGAAAAGAAAAACGGGAAATAAATTTCGCCGAAAACGCCGGAAAAAATAGCACTTTATACACTCTTTAACAGTAATGATCACGAACATATTTATATTATGACTCTTTTGATGAAAATCAGAATGTATTTCGAATATAAATCGAGTGTTAATAAATTTTTTTACGACGACATATTAATTTGTTACACTGAAGATGGCCACGTCTTTTAGGCCGAAACGTCCGTAATTTTATAATAAAAAGAAAATTTGAGCAATTATAATTAGCTTCTGCTCTATCAGAGTAATATATATGATATATTACTCTGATATGATATATTACGCTGATATAGTAATATATATCAGCTTGTGGTTTTCAAGAATATTATTTTAATAAGAAAAAGAGCTATATATTTATACTATTAAATTTTTTTTTAATTCAAAAATTAAAAATTTGCCGCCTCCTAAAATCTGCCGCCCTAGGGTATAGCCTATCCAGCTTAATGGAAAATCTGCCCCTGTTGCCTGCGTCAAATTAAGTTAACTTTATTTTTAAATGAATAACATATAGAAATTATTTATTTTATTTATATTTAAAAAATAATGTAAAATTGATGAAATGAAATGTGTCCTTTGAAATATTATACACAGATTACTCCTCAGGTACTCCCTTTGCAAGAGATATATTACACAGCTGTCACTATTACGTTTTGTAAGGATACGTTATAATAGCACTTAATGTTTTATTAAATAAACGATTTAGTATGTTCAGTATAAGAGCTCATAATTATTTAAACAAAAACTTATAGTTAATTAAAAAAATAAAAAGATGCACATAGTTAATTAAATGTGATAACTTAATTTAATAGTTTAATATAAACGAGACATTAAAATAAAAAAGCCGTCATTTAAAAAAAAAGCTCATCGAGAAGAGCTTAACTAATTGTTCGTATTGATTTTAATAATTTACTCAGTACTAATTAATAAAGTTATAATAAAGTTGAAAACAGATAAATATCATTTGTTAGTTCTAAATATATTAAAATTTTACAATTTCCTTTTTTTGAAAATCTTTAGAATTTTAATTTGCAGATTTCATGTATGCATATTTTATGTAGTAGAAATATTATTCACATTTTTAATACAAGAAAGACACATCGGACTGACACGCGCAAATAATTAAAAGTATTTTCTTATAATATCTCTCGAAAAACATTAGTCGTGAAATTATTACTATTTTAATTTATCAACGCTGTCATATAAATCAAGGAAACAAATTAAATTCTTTTGCGCAATTGATTATTTATCTATTGTTCACAATTTGTTTATCTGAGGTTTATCAAAATTGCATAGCGTTCTACGCAGTTGTACTGTATCAGTATGATTCACAATATCCATTCATTAAACGAACAACGTTATTAGACATAATAATATTTCTGATATGCCGTAAGACCGCTCTAAATTTTCTTTGACGTAATTTCTTTCGCATTAATTAATAAATGTATAAATTTTCATTTTTGCAAATAATGTATAAATACTAATGCTAACTATAAATTACTTTAGTATTTGTACATTGCGACAAATAATATAATTATTATTGATTCAGTAATTCGTTTTATTACTATTATTGTATAAAAAACCAGTAATTAAAACAGTAATAATAACACAAAAGAAAAATAATTTATGATATATATTAATTTTACCTGTTACTTGGACGAATTGCCAAATGGCAATTGTCATCAGGAACAAAAACCACTTCATTATTTCTTGAATGCACTGCGCGTTTTTAATGACGTTTCTTCAACTCTGCAAATAAATAAACGCTTCGGTACCAAAATTCTTACGTAAAATAAACTTTTTTATGGCATGTCCAACTTTATATACGATTTTAAGCAAAGAAACCATTAGACTGATAATTTATCTTCTTATGTGCTCTGATTGTGCTCCAATTGCATCGGTCTGTACTCCTGTTTACTGCATACGTAACATACCTTCCAATCATATGATAAACATATGATAAAAAAGCTTCTATATTTTAATTACTTTTAGAAAGAAAAACTAAAGTGTCATTCTAAAGCTTTGAATCTTTTGAAACGCTTAAATGTTTTAAACGGGCAAGATACATGTGCTGAAATCCAGGCGCCGCAGAAGTATTTTTCATCTGAGGAGGCAAAATTTATAAAGGGGATACATTATACATTCATAATATGTATATACAGGGTGTCCCGCGTAACTTGTTCCATCGGGAACTGGGAGGTAGATGGGATTGAAATAAATATAAAAGTCCTTTACCGTTTTACGGTAATTTAATGTTCAGTGGGTAGTATAAATGTGCGAAAAATATGCATAGATGTTTTGTTCTAATTAACTTAATGCGCTATATTTTCTTTATTATGTACTGTACTTCAATTTAACGAGTAAATAATAAAAAAAGAAAAAAAAGAAAAGTAACCCATTTTCCACCTTTAATGTAAATATTTGATACTCAAGATTTTCGGTCATAAAATACCTGAAGAAAACAGAAAATTTGAGGGGAGGGGGAGCTACGCCCTCTGAATTATCTTTGGGCGAGCGGTCGTCCCCTCTGCCGCCCTGGTTCCGCGGCGCCTGATGAGATCTAAATAAGCGTGTTACTCGTGAATTATATGTATAATACTAAGAAACATGCAATAAATTAGTTACGAAACGTTTCACGTAAGGAGACTCGCATTTTTTCTAAACTGTCGTTGCTGCGGATATCGACGAGAAAAAATCGTCAAGCAAAGGGTCTGAAGTTATGAAAATGTGTAGGTAAGGCTGTGGGGACAACACTGTGTAATAATTATTTAGAATTATCAATATGCAATCGCGAATCATGTATTATAGATATATACACAGGCACAGCAAAAATTAAAAATTGTTTAAGATAGTTGGCTCATAAAATGAGTTTCTTAAAAATTGTTCAAAATTTTCATTATATCTATAGAAGTAATATGTAAGTAGTCTTCAAACAAAAAAAACATTTGCCGTTTAGAAGCGAAGATACTAATTACAGTCGTAATTAGTATTTTTAACACGTGTTGCATACATCATACTATGCTTGACATATTTTTAATTTCATCTTGAAAATTACATTTAAGACTTTAATAAAAAATAATGAGCATGCAGAAAACAAACATATAAACATTACAAAAAAACAGCATTATTCACAGTTTAATTTCAATAATAAAACGTTAGCGGTATATGAATTTTGAAATTTTTTGAGGTATAAAAAAAACTCAAAGATATAAATTACGATATTCAAATTATACATGCGTAGGTACGTAGTATGGACAAACCCAACCAAATGTCTACTCTAACAAGTGTAAGAAATTAATTTATTAACTATTTTTATATTATTATCAAACTTTTGATTGATCCTTTTAGCAAATTGTTCATATAAATTAAATAATACGTAATGATATATCTAAACTTTATTATTTGAGTTTTTTTTAATGAAAGATTAAACTTTTAGATCGTATTGTCACGAGACAACTACCTTAAATAATAGTTGAACAATTTGCAAATTTAGTTCAAAGGAATAATTCCATAATGTATTTCTAACTATAACATAGAAAACGGTCTTCTTTATTATTATTTTTGAAATAATTATTTAGAATTAGCTGTCTAATATGTAAATCCTGTTTGGAATAAGTTATAACTCAAATTGACAAAATGTTTTGCATCCAAACGAACAGTAGGAACAGGCATTTCTTATAACATATTTTACGAGATTCTTTATCTTTTTGTCATATGTTTTATTATATCCTTATTATATTTAATATTGCTTTTTCATTATTAATCGGCTTTTCCACTTTGTTCTTCGGATTATTAAAGATTGTTTTCTTATTGTTAGTAGGCGCTGGCAAATAGCATCCGCATTTTCATAATTTTACTAATGCATTTATATATATGCTATTACAGATGTAGGATAAGAAAACTAGTTAGTTCTGGCTTACAGTTAAAGTAAAAATTTATTTCTTTCTCCAAAAACACATTGAATGTACGATACAATTTTTAAGGTGTACCATATATACAATCGTGAAGATAATTAATTATTATTGGAGATTAAAAAACAGATAAAAAATTCTTTCGACTACCCCCCCCCCCCCCAGTAAGGGAGGCAAAACGCGAATCAGAAAATTTCTCCAATTTTTTGTTTTGTTATTGTTTTTTGAAATCTCATACTCTCCTTTGTTTTGTTTCAAATATGCTTGCGATTCTTTCACATAACTTTTCCGCATTTCATCATTTACATGATAGTCTTCCCTTTTTACTCCCGTTATCTCAGTATCGATTTCCCTTTTTCGTATGTGGCTCGTGGGTTTTTCTTCTTTGTCGTTACTTTTATTTTTATTTGCATGTTCTGGTTCCTTCTTTGTTGCGCTTCGGAAGCCTAGAGTAAAACAAGTGCGGAATTATGTATTTATTGCTTATATAAATATGTAGATACTTTAATGGCAATGTTTATGCTTTTTAAGAACCTACCTTCATAAAACGGATATGCATCCCGGATTGCAAATGGATATACTACTTCTGCATCACGGTTCGGTGAGAACAACGATTCAGTCAGAAGCAATAGATTTATCCGAGGTTTCCGTTAACTTATAGGATTGCCTGCGTTAATATATTTAAATTAAGTTAAATTTATTTTTAAATAAATAACATGTAGAAAATTTTTATTTTATTTATATTTAAAAATATAATGTGAAATTAATGAAATGTAGTGTGACTTCTGAAATATTATACTGAGGTTACTGTTCAGGTACTCCCTTTACAAGAAAAATATTACACAGTTGTTGGCAACTGAGTAATTGTGGATTTCATTGATAGTTGGTGTTAGTTGAATTTTTTAATACTTTAACGCGTTTTCGAAGTGTCAAACTTATATTGTTATTTAACAGTTGGTACTTCAATTGTCATTCAGTAAAAAAATGATATCAATCGAATGTTTAGTTTTTGTTTGGCAGTTGTTGAAACATGGAAAGTCGAAATGAGCATTTTCGTCATATTTTGCTTTTTTGCTTCCGTAAAAAAATGAACGCATCTCAAGCTCATAAGGAGTTATATGCTGTGTATGGTGATGAAACATTAAAAGAACGGCAGTGCCAAAATTGGTTCGCTAAATTTCGTTCTGGTGATTTTTCACTTAAAAAAGGGCAACGCTCTGGTCGTCCATTGGAAGTTGATGACGATCAAATGAAAACAATAATCGATTCCGATCGTCATAGCACAAAACGTGAGATTGCGAAGAAGCTCAATGTATCACATATGTGTATTGAAAAGCGTTTAAAAAAACTCGATATATGGGTTCCTCATCAACTTAAGGAAATTTACTTAACAAAACGCATCAATAACTGCGATTTGCTTCTGAAACGTAACGAAAATGATCCATTTTTGAAACGATTAATAACTGGCGATAAAAAATGGATTGTTTACAACAATGTAAATCGAAAAAGATCGTGGAGCAAGCAAAATGAACCAGCTCAAACAACATCCAAAGCTGAAATTCACGAAAAAAAAGTTATGTTATCAATTTGGTGGAATTACAGAGGAATTGTCTACTTTGAAAATTTGCGCAACCAAAACCACGCAACCAAACGATTAATTCAGATGTATACATTCAACAGCTAACCAAATTAAACAATGCAATTCAAGAAAAGCGACCAGAATTGGCAAATCGTAAAGATGTCGTGTTCCACCTTGATAATGCAAGACCACACACATCTTTGGCCACTCGGCAAAAATTATTGCAGCTTGGTTGGGATGTGTTGCCACATCCACCATATAGTTCTGACCTTGCACCATCGGATTACCATTTATTTTGATCTTTACAAAACTTTCTGAATGGTAAAACTTTCAATAATAATAATGATGTCAAATCGCACTTGGTTCAGTTTTTTGCCGATAAAAACAATAAATTTTATGAACGTGGAATTATAATGCTGCCAGAAAGATGGCAAAAAGTCATTGATAAAAATAGACAATACATTATTGAATAAAGTTATTTCGTTCCATAAAAAAATAGACTTTTATTTTTTTGAAAAAATCCGCAATTACTTAGTTGCCAACCCAATATTATTATTTTAATTTATCAACATGGTCACATAAATCAAGAAAACAAATTAAATTCTTATGCGCAATTGATCATTCATCTATTTATCACAATCTGTTCATCTGTGGTTTATCAAAACTGCATAGCATTCTACGCAGTTGTACTGTTATCGATATGATTCACAATATTCATTCATTAAACAAACACGTTATTTGGCATAATATTTTTTCTGCTCTTCCGTTCGAAGTCTCTTTGGATATAATATTTTTTGCACTAATTAAAAACTGAGTAAATTTTTATTTTTTTAAATAATGTATAAATAATAATACAAACTATAAATTGCTTTAGTATATCGACGCGACAAGTGATTTAATTATTGTTGATACAGAAAATTTGTTTTATTATTATTATTATTTAAAAAACTGACAAGTTATAAGAACAATAAAAGAAAAATAATTTATAATATACATATGTTAACTTTACCTGTTACTTGTACGCAATGCCAAATGGCAATTGTTATCAGCAACACAAAACACTTCATGATTTCTTGAATACACTGAACACTTTGGATGACGGTTCTTTAATTTTGTAAGCAAGATCCTTCGGCATCAAAATCCTGACTTAAATTGAACTTTTTTAAGAAATGTTCGACTTATATAAGTTTCTACACAATTAAACCGTTAGACTGATAGATTTATTTATCTTTTTATTTGTGCTCTACCTGCATCGGTCTTTATTCCAGCGTTACCAATTCTTGCCCAGGATTTTCACGCAAAATTTAAAGGACCATGTATGTACATGAGCTGCGTAAAGCGCTCTGTGCTACACATGAACATGGCCCCTCGATTATGTGCGTGAAAACTTAGAACAAATAATTTTCACGCTGCTGGACTCCTGATTGTATGTATGCAAACATTAAAAAGACTTAGACATTTTCATCGCTTTTAGAGAAAAACTAAAATGTGATTTTAAGACTTTAGAATATTTAAAATGCTTGAATTTTTTTGTAAAGATTTGCAAGATAAATGTACCAGAATGTTTTATTTGCTGAGCTCTGAGAAAGCGTGTACTCATAAATTATATCTATGTGAAGCCTACAATAAATTAGTTACAAAACGTTTCACTTAAGAAAACTTGCATTTTTTGTGAACCCTTGTTGCTGCGACGAGAAAGAATCGTCAAGCAGAGAGTCTAAAATTCCGAAAATGTGTAGGTAAAACTGTGGAAACAACACTGTGTAATAATTATTTAGAATTACCAATATACACTCGCGAGCTATGTATTATACATATTTACGCAGGCAAAACAAAAAATAAAAATTGTTTAACATAATTGTCTAAAGTAAATGTTAGAAATTGATCCAATTTTTCATTATATTTATTGAAGTAATATCTAAGTAATCCTGCATCAAAAAAATTTACTGTTTAGAAGTGGAGATAATTACAGTCGTAATTAGTACTTTTGTTATCATAATTAGTACTTTATTTTATTAATTTATTTATATATATGCTATTACAGCTGTAAAGTAAGAAAACACATTCAAAAACACATCGAATGTACGATATTATTTTTAAGATGTATATACAATCTTGAAGATATTTAATTACTCTTACAGATTAAAGAACAGATAAAGAATCTTATCCTCTACCCCAATAAAACAGGAAAGACAATATGCGTCTCGGTAATTCTTCTATATGTTCACTTGTATCTTCTTGAATATTCTCATGTGATATCTCATAATCTTCATCTATATGTTCACTTGTATCTTCTTGAATATTCTCATGTGATGTCTTATTATCTTCATCTATATGTTCACTTGTATCTTCTTGAATATTCTCATGTGATGTCTCATTATCTTTATTATCGTTTTTATTATTGTCTTTATTATCGTCTTTATTATCATCTTTATTATCGTCTTCATCATCGTTTTCATCGTTACTTTTTCCTTTAATTGCATCTTCTCGTGCTATTGTTAGCACGTACATTTTGCAGAAGTCTATAGTAAAACAAGTGGTGAATTATGTATTTATTGTTTTAAATAAAACTGTTGATACTTTATTTGCAATGGATATGCATTTTAAGAACCTACTTGTATAAAGCGTTAAAAATGGATTTATTTACTTTTTATTTGCATTGTGATCGAATTTATAAGCGGCATCGTTGAATGTGTCGATACATCCGGGATACTCGTACAATTACCTGCGTTAATATGTTTGAATTAAGTTAAATTTATTTTTAAATGAATAACATATCGAAATTTTTAATTCTATTTATATTTAAAAAGTAACGTGAAATTGATGAAATAAAATGAGTCGTGTAAAATATTATGCGGAACAGAAAAGAAAATAAGCGCTGAATTATTTATCTATTACTTATATAAATATGTAGATACTTTATTGGCAATATTTATGCACTTTGAGAACTTACCTGTACCCAACGCTTTGAGCAGATAATCAATCGTAATTGGATTTGGCAGATCTCGAGGTTTCCGTTGACTCACAGGATTACCTACGTTAATATACTTAAATTAAATTAAATTTATTTTGAAAAGAATAACATATAGAAAATATTTATTCTATTTATATTTTAAAAGATAATGTAAAATTAATTAAATGTAGTGTGACCTCTGAAATATTATACACAGGTTACTCCTCAGGTACTCCTTTTGCAAAAAAATATTACAGAGTTGTCACTATTATGTTTTGTAAGGATACATTATAGTAGCATTTAATGTTTTGTTAAATTATCGATTTAGTTTGTTCAATATGAGAGCTCATAGTTATTTAAAAAAGAACTCATAGTTAATTAAAAAAATAAAAAGATTCTTATAGTTAATTAAATGTGATAGTTTAATTTAATAGTTTAATATAAACGAAACATTAAAATAAACAAGCCGTCATTTGAAGAAAGAGTTCATCCAGAAGAGCTCAACCGATTATTCGTATTAATTTTGTTAATTTACTCAGTACTAATTAATAAAGTTATAATAAAGTTAAAAACACATTAATATCATTTGTCAGTTCTAAATATATTAAAATTTTACCATTTTCTTCTTTTGAAGATCTTTGGAATTTTAATTTGGAGATTTTATGTATGCATATTTCATGTAGTAGAAATATTATTCGCATTTTTAATACAAGAAAGACACATCAAACTGACACACGCAAATAATTAGAAGTATTTTCTTATAATATCTCTCAAGAAACATTAGTCGTGAAGACATTACTATTTTAATTTATCAACGCGGTCATAAAAATCAAGGAAACAAATTAAATTTTTCTGCACAATTGATCATTTATCTATTGCTCACAATCCGTTCATCTAAGATTTATCAAAATTGCATAGCGTTTTACGCAGTTGTACTGTAACAGTATGATTCATAATATCCATTCATTAAACAAACAACGTTATTAGACATAATAATGTTTTTGATATGCCGTAAGACCGCTCTAAATTTTCTTTGACGTAATTTCTTTCGCATTAATTAATAAATGTATAAATTTTTATTCTTGCAAATAATGTATAAATACTAATACTAACTATAAATTGCTTTAGTTTGTATGTTGTGACAAGTAATATAATTATTATTGATTCAGTGAATTTGTTTTATTATTATTATTGTACAAAAAACTAATAATAATAACAATAAAAAAAAAATAATTTATGATATATGTTAACTTTACCTGTTACTTGGACGAATTGCCAAATGGCAATTGTCATCAGGAACAAAAACCACTTCATTATTTCTTGAATGCACTGCGCGTTTTGAATGACGTTTCTTCAACTCTGCAAGTAAATAAACGCTTCGGTACCAAAATTCTTACGTAAAATGAACTTTTTTATGGCGTGTCTGACTTTATATACGACTTTAAGCAAAGAAACCATTAGACTGATAATTTATCTTCTTATGTGCTCTGATTGTGCTCCGATTGCATCGGTCTGTACTCCTGCTTACTGCATACGTAACATACCTTCCAATCATATGATAAACATATGATAAAAAAGCTTCTATATTTTAATCACTTTTAGAAAGAAAAACTAAAGTGTTATTTTAAAACTTTGAATTTTTTGAAACGCTTAAATGTTTTAAACAGGCAAGATACATGTGCTGAGATCCAGGCGCCGCGGAAGTATTTTTCATCTGAGGGGGCAAAATTTATAAAGGGGATACATAATACATTTATAATATGTATATATATATGTATGTAACTCCATTCAAACATTATATAATAGGGTGGGTAGTATAAATGCTCAGTGGGTAGTATAAATGTGCGAAAAATATGCATAGATGTTTTGTTCTAATTAACTTAATGCGTTATATTTTCTTCATTATGTAGTGTACATTAATTGAACGTGTAAATAATCAAAAAAAGAAAGAAGAAAAGGAAAGAAAAGTGACCCATTTTTCCACCTTTGATGTAAATATTTGATACTCAATATTTTCAGTCATAAAAGACTTGAAGAAAAGAGAAAAATTTTAGGAGGGGAGCTACGCCCTCTGAATTATCTTTGGGCGAGCGGTCGTCCTCTCTGCCGCCCCGGTTCCGCGGCGCCTGATGAGATCTAAATAAGCGTGTTACTCGTGAATTATATGTATTATATAATACTAAGAAACATACAATAAATTAGTTACGAAACATTTCACCTAAAGAATTTTTGTGAACACTCGTTACTGTGGATATCCGAAAAAAAATTGCGATGCATTCAAATTTCTTTTCGAAACAATCCTCGTTTATTGCATTGCGCTCGTCCGTTCTTTATTTGTAATTAGGAATATCCATAAGATAGCGTTATACATCTATTAAGTACAGAAGAAATTTGTTATTTCTATAAAAAATTTTCCTTCTGGGCAATATATTTATAACCATGTATGTAAATTTAATTTTGCATAAATTTCAAGATTGAAAGTATTCACAAAATTGAAGTTAGCTTAAAAAGAGATGGTTTTACTCTTTAAATTTTATGATACTATATTAGTTATTATATTAACGGATGGGGTAGGCATGGTGGGGGTATTATTATCATTATTTATTTACATATTATCCGTTGATATTGTTGAACAAATAGCATTTTATCGCTGATAAAATAGATTCGCATATTCGGTGAATTAGTTTTGCCGGTAGTTCCAAAGATGTCGCGACGAGTTCAAGACCAAATCTTGATCTTGATCCGTCCGCAGAGATGACTGAACTGCAAAGTCATTTGGGCTTAGCAAACCCACGAATTTGAGTTTACACACTATGGTCACGCACATACATGTATGTACAAATAAAAACGCATTAAAAACGCAAACAAAGTAAAAAAGAATTTTACAAGAGAGGTACCTGACTGACAAGACGGTCTCGAGATCTTTTTTTATTAATAAGTAAAGAAATCTTGACCTTGACAAACCTTTGGAATGCTAGCTTTTACCTACTTTATGCAAAAATAAAGTCAAATAACGTGATAAGTATATAAATGAAAATTTATGACAATTGTCATATTAATTATTCGTAACAGTAAACTCGATATCAAGAATCATTTATTTAAATAAATAATTGGAATCTTTATTGATTCCATATCTGTGATAAATATTTTAAAATAATATTAATTTGTTATATAAATAGCTGTTATCTTTTTAGTAAAATAAAACAAAAGTTTTAATTTACTAAAAGATAACAGCTATTTATATAACAAATTAATGTTATTATAAAATATTTATCACAGATATTTCTCAATCTTCAGGTTTTATCCAGGGATAATATTTTTCAATGTACTTTGTATTATTACAAAATGTAGGATCGACGTTTTATTAACTTTCTTATGCTATCTAAAACTCTAATAAGTATCCTTTTTTAACTCTTTTGACTTCGCATCGAACGAGATTCATATCTCATTGCAACTTATCTTCTTGCGAATCAGTTTCCTGGAAAAACAATGAAGCACGTAGGATTTTAAAATAAAAGAGAAGAAACAATATATTATATGATGAGCGGCGCGCAGTAATTGCTATTGTAGCTCATTTGGTGCTGTCATTGCCGCTTCTACCGCTGGATATATTTTATTGCTTTTCTTACGAAAATGCAATATTACAGTATACAAACTAAATTTTACACACATTTTTTTTTATATTTGTGCATTATGCAATATCTAACAATTCGCCAACAGTTTGCGCGAGATCAGAGAATACATCACTATCGTATTGTTTAGAACTTTTGCTTCTGACATAATGCAACGGTATAGTCTGACTATTCTCGGGAAATCTAGCGAAGGATCCTCCTTCGGATGACGCAATTCCGTGAGCATGTCCGTTTCCAACAGCCTGAGCATTGACCTGAGCATTTCCATTTCGGTGTCCTAAAATCGATATGTCGTTGGAATCTTCTTTTCGAAAAGTATTTTTAAAAGCACAATCAAAAGTCGCATTTTTTCTTTAACACTTTTATCGTAATCGTTTCTTAATTGTGTACATTTTACCTGACACAGAGCTGAATGATTGTGCTTGAGAAATTGAATCACCAGCCGAAAACGCATAAGGACCAGAGTTTGAACTTATTTCGAATTGAGGACCAATCGATCCGTGAGTTTGACTGTTCCAAGAATTGTGTTGTCGATGTTCAATCGATAGATTTGGTCGGGGAAGTACTCTGTGATTTGGTCGCCATTTGTAGATATGAATTGTCGGCCTTTGTTCTCGTCTGTGTATATCAGCTATACCAATGTTCAATGTTGGTCGTCTTCCATCATACGGTTTCGAAATAGTCAATGTAGGTCGACCGAAACGTCGATCTAAAATTATAATTTTTATTTTTATTACTAGTAATTTATCAATTTCAATTTGAATAGAATAAAATTATTACAGCTTAGATGAAATAACTGTATAAAAGATTAATTGGTAGTTTAATAATAAATATCGTCATATTTTTTTTAAAAAAGACACAAAAATAAATTTATGTTATAAGTTTAAGTTATATAATTTAACATATTATTTTCTTTCTCAAGCTTTCCATTTATGAATTATTTGTATGAAGAAAATTGAGTAATAAAAAATTAAATTTATAACTGTACTTGCCATTGTATTCGTTGCTTGGACCAACATTACTCCATGTCGGTCGATTTTGATACTGTGTGCTGATAGCACTAGCTTGTGAGAAGGATTGTCCTCTGTTATCATTGGCTATAGCAGAGGATTGCGAGGCGCCAACGGAAGACGAAGCACCGGTAATTGCTTGTCCATTTTCAATCGCTCCGAAAGAAGTTGCGCTTGCTTGGCCGAAGCTCAGTGAATGGCTTTCGGTTTTGGCATTGTTACCTTTATTATATGCTTCCGCGCCCGCTGTAGAAATTCCCGATAGTCCTGCGGAAAGAGTCGTCGACTTGCTTACAGAAACGGATGATCTGAAAAATAATAATTGCTTTCTATATACGTTTTTTTTTTTAAAGAAATATAGATACGATATTGTTAAAAAATATAACTGGAAAATTATTGCTAACAATTGGCTAGAAACATCTAACGTTTAATGATTTTGTATGATTTAATATATCTACTAGTAATTAAATTTTTCCCGAGTATAAATTATAAATAAGTTTGAAATTAGGTTGATGCAAAATATTTGCTGTTTTTACCAAGTAAAGTTAAAGACAGAATTCTAAGATTTTAAGTTAATTTTTGTTATTCAAGTTAGTCGCCATTGTGCAGCTAATATACTCTTTTCATCTGGAAACACTTTTTTTGCCTGATTTAAAAGACTCTGAGCTCGCAGAGCAAAAATCAACAATTTTATTTAAAATAGACTTTCGCAGAAAGATGAATTTTTCTCATTAATCAAATATATTGTTTTCCAAACACACCCATCAATTCCATGTCCCGTGGGATGATTGTAATTGTTACTTTCCGAAAGACTAACGCCGTCGAGGCTCGCACCTAGGCTAACAGAATGTGCATTGTTGTCGCCTGCGTTCAAGCTAAAAGTAGCCGTGACAGGGCTGAGGGAAAGAAGACGCGTCTGAAATTTCTCATCATTCGATATCTTGACAACCGACTCCGGTGTTAGTTCTGGTGGCGTGTTCCATCGTCGTTCATGTTCCTGTGTAAAGTCTGCCTGTTCGCCTGCTCAATGAAAAGTGTTTGTTCAAGTGGTTAGAAATGCAGAGGTGAACGTATTCCCGTGTCTCAATAGATTTGTGTACTACGGTTGAAATGATTTTAGGTTGAAGATGCACATTATCTTTGTAAACATCGAAATACTGCGTGAATGTAATAGATTCACATTTCCAGATAGATTTCTATAGGTCTATAAAGTATTTTGGAACTTTTATCGTATTCATTTACTCAATAAAATAAAAAAGACAATTTTTTAAGACGATTAGATGATAAAAGTATCTTGTGATACCAACACGTTCTTTGATGTAACAAAGATTAAACAAATTTTGATGTCAAATGAAGAAATTATGTTAGCTTTTACATTTGCTTCGTAAATTTTGAATCAGATAAATGTTATTGACTGATTTTTTTTTTGCTGATTCTGCACTATTCTACTTATTACAGTATTTCCAGTCGTTTCATATTGTTCCTTTGTTATTGCGCTTTTTCTACAGATCAAGAAATGCAACTGTGGCACAAAAATTGCAGTTGCAACTGCCGTATGCATTAATATATGAATTTTTTTGCTAACTTAGAAGCGATGAAGTTATGTAACATTGGATAAATCACATTTTTAAAGCAATTTATTCCTTTTTTTCGCGTGTATTGCACTAGCAACCTATAATTTTTTAAATTCTATTATTGAAATAAACCACTAAAAGTTTTAGAAATTTGTCATAATTTTTTAAAAAAGGAATAACGAAAAAACTCTGTAATAAATTTTTAATCTCTGTGATAAAATCTGCAGTAAATAATTTTTGATAAATTTGCATTAAGTTTGTGTTTTACGTCCGCGATAAACTTATGTTAATAAATTAAAATGTGTTGATTTATCGATGTTAATATATATATTTATAGAGTGTCAATGATAATTTGTTAAATCTCGCAATTATTAAGATGTTGTATTAGAAGTTAAGAAATACTAAATCTTTCCAGATTTATTGTTCACATATTCGTAATGCATATATAAAAAAATTTTATCATTATCGTTACACTATACTCGTCGTAGCACGCTCCACAAGTTCGAAAAAAAAGTTTAGCTACTCACATTTGCAAGATATTATAACACTCGTCACATAAATTGTCTTTTTGCCGTCATCGATATTGGTATGCGCGTGACACTTGTATTCTTAATTTTTAGAAATATTTTCTCACCTTTCCGTGCAAACGACAGCGCGAATGTGAAGAGAAGAATACGGTTGACGCTCTTCGCCATGTCTGAAGACACTCTGACTTGATGATGCGAACGCTCTGCCCTTTTCAATAACTACGCGTGACCTTAGTGTCCTTCTTAAAATGCAGAACACGTCCATGTAACTCTTCTCAGGTGAATCGCTGCGCGATTCGCGATGACGCGAATCGTGAAAGAGAAACGCAATCTTCAATGACCAAGAGGTATCAATGACCAGTAAATAATTCTTTAGATTCTTTACCTTATTTTATATTTAAATAGATTATAATAGTCTTAAAGATATTTAATTAAGTTTAATGAACGAGTTGAATTTGAAGCGATAACATTCTTATTTGTTTATGCTATGATTACTAAACAGATGGCCTTCTGAAATCCCGAAAATGATTAGGTTAAGGCTATGAAGACAACTCTGTGTAATAATTATTTGGAATTACCAATATGCAATCGCGAGCCATGTATTATACATTGGTAAATATTACCAAACTATGTGTGATAATTATAACAAAACAATTTGTAAATATAAACGAATTGTTCAGTAATAATTATCAAATTATTTGACATTTATCATAAAATCATGTAATAACTATAACTAAATGATTTAGTAAGTATTAACCAATTTTTTAGTAATAGTTCAGTAATAATTACCAAATTATTTGACATTTATCATAAAATCATGTAAAAACTATTACTAAATGATTTAGTAAGTATTAACCAATTTTTTGGTTACAGTCACGGTGTAAAAATATAAGGTGATTTTACGGCAACAAATTTTTGTGATTTTCCTGTCATTGTTCCACATTGAACCGCTAGGTGGCTACGTGTTGAGGGACTTTAAATATATATATATATAAATTTTATTAAAATTTTATTGTCCTGCGGAACTTAATTATAAATATTTATTTTCTTAAAGAAACTTAATTTTCTTTAAAGATTGGAATACATTATTAATTATTTTTTCTGCAAATTTAACTAATTGTAAGAATAATTTGTTATAAAAAATAAAAAATATTTTGTCAGTAATATATATTTTTATACACAATGTTAAAAGTTTTATTTTAAAAAATTTGTATTATTTAGGACTATAATTATATATAAATGTGCTTTAGAGATTCATCATCTATCCTTTTCTGTCCACATCTATCCATATCTTCTATTCTTTTTTACTTGAGATTTTGCAGCAACGTGACATCTTGTGTGACATGCCTTAACTATGACATCTTGATCACAAATTTTTTGATAGAATACAATGGTCGTGAAATCATCTTATATTCTTACACCGTGGTTACAGTTGAATAATAATTACCAAATTATTTGACATTTATCATAAGATTATTTAGTAACTATAACTAAATGATTTAGTAAGTATTAACCAATTTTTCGGTTATAGTTGAGTAATAATTACCAAATTATTTGACATTTAACACAAAATCATTTAGTAATTATAACTAAATGATTAAATAAGTATTTGTTGGCTATAGTTTAGTAATAATTACCAAATTATTTGACATTTATTACAAAATCAATTAATAATTATTACTAAATAATTTAGTAAGTATTACTAAATAATTTAGTAAATATTACTAAATAATTTAGTAACTATTACTACATGACTTAGTAACTATTGCTAAATAATTTAGTAAGTATTAAACAATGGTAATTATTATCAAATGATTTAGTAACTATTAACAAACATAAAACACATTTTATCATACAAAATAGGTCACGGAGATCATGCGCTTGAGTTCTATAATAATGACAAAAATATTGAACGTACAAAATTTATAACATATAATAATTAATTATTGCAATCAGTTTGTGATTTTTCATGAGTTGACAATTTAACATCAATATGTGAGCTCACATTTTTCCTCATGTGCACATGATAACTTGTGCTCATGATATGTATCATCATAATATGATTACAAGATATACATAATTTTGGGGTAAATAACTGAAGATCATGACGTGATTAGATCTGATCATCAGGCATTGCTATCTGGATATTTACAAATCTTTTCGTTATAATTATCACACATAGTTTGGTAATATTTACCAAACACTTCGATACCCACACGGAACAAAAACCTCTAATGGATATCCACTAGATGTCCATCATGGAGATTCGAAACCTCTATTAGATGTCTATGTAATCTCCTATAGATGTCTACTAGACATCCACAGTTCCGCATTACATACCTCCATTCGACATCCATTAAATATATTCATAGATATCATATGGAGCA